TACAAATACTATGTAACAAAAAAAGATATATATCGATATATTTTCTTCACCGTTTATATCCAACAGGTCCGATAAAAGATTTTTTTTTTTTTAATAGCTTTTTGAAATTAAAATAAGAACATGTGGATATTTAAAATTATATATATTTTTTATGATTTAAGTTTAATGGCTTAAACGTTAACGTTAATATTTTAATGTAATGTAAGATCAAATGAATGCTGAAATTAAATCCTGACAGGGATCAACCTTAAAAAAAAAAAAAAAAAATTCCTGGTCATGAGAAAGTTTAAAATATCATCATCATCAATTCTAAATTGAGTTATTAGTAATTTACACATTATTATTATTATTATTATTATTATTACTATCGTTATTTATTATTACAGTATAATTCTTATTTAAAATTAATATGTCATATTGACGCTAACGTTATTCGTTTTTTCAATATATACATATATATATATTATATTTTATTTTCATCCCTCCCCCCTAAAAGATTATGAAATCCTTGGTATAATGATATAATTATATTATACTATATAATTATATATCTAATTTTATTCAATTGTAGGAATATATACTGTAATTGTATACGTAAAAATAATAATAGGGTCATATGATAATAGTACTATTAATATTATCTCCTGAAATGTTTCATTCTGTTTTTTTTTTCTAACATTGAAAAGAGGGCTCACTAACTTTATGACCAAAACTCTTTTATATACTAACATTACATGGTATAACTTTTATTCCCTTTTTATTCTCTTTAATTCATATATTTTCTAAAAGATTTTTTTTTTGTGATATGTATATGTGACATTAGATCGTTAATTCTGTAATTGGTTAAATATTATATAGATGCAAAATACAGTATATCGATTTATTAATGTGACATCCATAAAAAAAGATGACGAAAAGTTAGTAAAATTGATAAAACTTATGATGTAAATTGATGTAAATTGATAAAAGTTGATGAAATTTGATAAAAAAAAATTTTATATAATGATAACGATGGTTGATTTCCAAAAATAAAAACCGGTTATAAAAAAATTTATATATCGATATAAAATATTAATATAAATGCTGTTATAAAATGTAAAGTATAAAAAAAAAAAACTTTATTACTAAGAAATATAATTGATTGGGTATATGCGTTTTTATATAAATCTGGAATTTATCTTTTTGTAGGTTAGAGAAACTTTAAAAGTGGGTTAATGATGACATTAAAGGTATGAGTAAGTTGCCAAACTACGTCATTTGACATATATTCCGGCTTGGTGGGTTCGATTGTTTTTGTGTTGGTTATATATTTCTGTACTTGTATTAAAAATTTTTTTTGAAGATAAACTTTTAATAAGCTGTATGTGAAACATAAACATTCTCCCTTACCAATACAGATTTACAAGTTTCGCACGTTAATTTTACTGTTAATAATTTTCGTCGCGGAAATTCTTAAAGGTAAAATTGAATTGAACCTAATTCATTTTTTCTATAAGGACGAAGTAAAATTTGCGCATAATATTACATTGTCCAATAATCACGTTATAGTTGAAACTTTTTTAAAAACTTAAAAATAGATAGGTACATAACAACTGCAAGTTTAAAAAGTAGTCAATCGACTAAATGCAGTGAAACACGTAAAGATCTAGATTATAATTTCTAATTCTGGTTTTATAATCAACATTTTTCCCGTTTCAACGCTCGTTATATTTTTAGAGACAAAGTGAAATCTCATGCATTAGAAATAAAGATCTATTCAAAGATTTTTTTTTTTTTTTAAAAAAAAGAAAAAGATTAGATTCTTTGATTCTTTAAAAATAACTTATATAAAGTATTATTATTAATAGATATTTATGATTATCGTAACATTATAAAAAAATTGTTTATTAATAATATCATTTACTGTATGTTTTCCAAAAACTTGCAGTATTTTAACTTATATATGAATGCAGTCAATTATCGTTATCGATATTGTAATTATAGTATAACTAATTATACAAATATCAGATATATAACTAATTATACGAATAATTATACGAATAATTATAAATAATTATAACTACTGATGATATAAATCAACTGATTAGTAAATATATATAATTACATTTTGTGTTTCTCATTTCCTTAAAAACATGTTTTTGTCAGTTAAAACTACTTGCATTCCAACAGAAGAAATAATAAGAAATAATAAGAAATAAAAAAAAAATTAATATCAGATAAATGTATGTATATGTAAAAACGTTCCAAAAGTAAAAATATTAATTATTATTACTATATTATTAAGTATAAAAATTTCTGTGTAACACAGAAATTATTATTCATGCTTGTCCCTTGAATCTTATTTAACATACGTATTTACAATCTAATTAGTTAAAATATTTTAAGACTTAACTGTTAATGACACTCCTCGTAATTAAAAACAATGCTACCTTTTTTTTTTAATAATAAATTTTTCGTATTAATCATTATCGTTATTTAAATAGAAAGCAAGAAAGGTTATGATATGTAGCATTTATGAAACTAATGATTCGATGATAAAAATCCCGGTTTAATCCGCAAACTTTGACATTATTTTATTTTTAACCATATAGTATATATAATCGGTGGGAAAAAAAAACCAAGTTTACAGAAAAAGAGAAAAGGCTAATGATACTTTCGAGAATAATCAAAGTTTTTGTTTATACAAGTTTGATAAATATTTAATATACAGATATCGATAATTGATATACAGATAATAGCGGATAAAAGTAACCAGTTGTTTTATAAAAATTTTTTATGATACTGTAATAATAATAATAATAATACAAATTCTGATAGGTGTTTTTAGGGGTTACCTTTAGATTTACGCGGAACGACAACACCGAATTTATGGGTATCATCCGAATACCGGTGTACGGTAGGTACTATCTGTACATGATCATTTCGCAATACCTTTGTAACAAAAAAAAAGAAAGCCAATAAAATTATAATACAGAATTCGCGTGTGGTGTAGAAAGTTAATTTTTTTACACTACGTTAATGACCGTTAACCCAGGAGTACCCTGGAGTACCCATGAATACCAGGAATGGTTATAAAATAAATCTAGTTTAAATAATTTAAAATAATTTAGGTTATTTATCTTATGATATCTCGACTTGATTAATTATTTTATGCAGTACTTTTCTTTTTTTTTCTTTTCTGCAATAACAATATGCGTGGTCAAAATATACAATTTATTATAATGTACAGTTGTAATGTATTTCAAATACACACACATATACATACATATACATATGTACATTAACAACGGTTATATTAATAACACCTTGTGAGAATTTGTAAGATGTGATTTCTTATTACTATGCCTTTTTTGTCCTGTCATTGATCATGTACACTATGCACAAAACTTAATCTAAAACATCTTTATTCCCTCTTTCTTGTCTCATAACAACAAAACCACTGTGCATAATCAGTAATCCGTTCTGGGATAAACATAGTGAAAACAATAAATAATTTCACAGATTTTTTAAAAATTAACTGTTTGTCATAAAAAGTATGAAAGAAACTTTTATAATAATTATTAAAATGGACTAAATTTCGTTGTTTAATCTAGTAAGTAAACTTAATGATAGTTATTTAGTTTTAGTAATTATAATCAACTATAATAAGGTTATATTCGTTTATATTCATTCATTAATTAATATTATCTTTTTTCTTTTATTACCTTCTTTACCTTTATTACTTCTTTACCTTGAATAAAACTCTTTGTAGTATATAATAAGATCTTTTTACCATAATATCGTTTCATCCAAATATTTTAATATAGTATTAATATTATCAATTATCACATAAAAGTATCACCACAATAATTCATCACAAATACTTGTAAATATTCTTACAAGTATTTTTCAAAGTATCTTCTAAGTATGTACAGTACAGTACGTTACATATATAAATTTACCATGTGACTAATCGACTAAATATCTTTTATAATAATATCTTTATAATCATTTGATTTTCCGTTCTTTTTGATTTACCTTTTTCTGTCAATCCGACGCAAACAATTATAATTATATAAGGGGTTAATTTAATACCGACGAATTATCGTGTATTTAGGATCGATTTATTCTATATTCAATTATCGTTATTCTATATTCAATCAAATTTCAAATTTTTTTTTTCATTAGAGTATTAGCTTTTTTCAATGTTTCAAAAGAGGCAATAGGCTGTGCTTTTAATACTATGTACAACATTTTCATCAATGATATTTTTTACGAGTCTCATTCGATCACCTGCTTTTATTATTTTAAAATATACTTTATATTTTTTTATTATTATGTATGTATCTTATTTGTATGTACGTATTAGTATATATATCAATATATATATATCAGTATATGCATGCATAAATTTTTATATAATTTATTTAATTTATATATATTTTATTATATAGTTTTATAGTTTATAATTTTATATTATTTTTTATATAATTTATATATACGTTTTTATCTTATCACACACAATCACACAAAAAACCACACAAAACACCACACAAAACTAACAAAAACTAAAAACTGTTTATATTTATATCCCATCAGTAAGTGTCGAAATGTGATCTGTTTACAGTTACAGTTACAAAACCCGATTGGATATTTACATATAATATATCATATCTCATTATGTATGTTCTATATCTAATATATTATTATTCCATGTATATATAAAATAGAATCATCAGATTCGGACAAATTTGACCTTAAAAAAAAAAAAATTATATTAAACCTTGAATTTTCTCAAAATCTTTGATTTTTTTTTTCTTCTTTTTTTTTCAAATATATATAAAAAAAAAAAAAAAAAAATCGATTTACTAAAACATCAATCATACACCACCCATTTATCTATATTCCTCGATTTGTGATACCTTACGAATTCTTATAACTTGAACTTCTTTCACTTTAAATTTTATTTATTTTTTTTTTTTTTTCTTTTACAGAATAAAAATTTTTTTTTCTTCATTCACATGTCTTCAACGATAAATTGCTTTTGGTCTCTATTATCATTAAGTGACCTAAGTTTCGTTTATATTTCTCCTTGGTTATCTAAAGCTCTTGGTCCTGATCATGACTCATTATTGGGTACTTCGGTTTTTGATTATTTTCATCCTCAAGATCGAGAGTTGGCGCGTCGCGACTTATCAGAGTTTGTTAAAATGAAAACAATTACATGTTCGATAACAAGGTACTATTTTAATACCTACTTTATAATTATCTTTATTATTATAATATTTAATTACTTTTATTATGATATTATATTATTATTGCTATGTATTATTATCATTAGAAATTATTATTACCATTATTATTACATTATTATTACATTATTATCATCCCCTCTTTTTTTTTATATCTTTACGCGTTCTTTATCATATTAAGCGCGTATCTTTTTTTTATATATAAAATAATACTTTTTTTTTTCTGCAAAATTTTATTTCTTATTATAATAATAATAATCATTTCGCTATTATATTTGACACGTGACTTTTCCATCCCTTTCTTTTTTTTTAATTTTCATTATAGGTGTCGATATAATAGTCTTTCAGCAATAAAAAAGAAGTTACAAACACAAAATCTTTCAACTAAAGGATTTCATTCTACAAAATTATCAATTAATACTCAAAATGATGATAATGATTATATAATAATACATCTTGGAATGAATGTTGTTAGTCATGATATCGTTCTTGCTTGCTTTCATCCTGATGATGGTAAATATAACTTTTTTTAAAAAGTATCGCAAAAAATAAAATTTTCTATTAATATAATTACTAACAATATTATTATTATAATATAATTATTATCATCCTATTATTATTATTATAAAATATAGTAAAACCAAGTCATTGCACGCAAATTTCTTGTGGTGAAACTGAATTTTCAAAAGAAGTAAGTTTATATAATTGTTAATGCAAATTTTTAAAATTTTTAAAATTGATTTCAAATTTCAAAATTTTAAAATTGATTTAAAAATGTTTCATAGGAATTGAATAAATTATCTTCACTTTTACACAAATATTCAACAATTGGCTCTTCCAGAATACAAACTCCTCCTTTTTCAGATAACCATTCATCATCAGATTTTAACGCTTTTCCAAATCGAATTTTCCAAATATTGGATAAACATTCAAAGAATTTGATTTTCTCTTGGCCCGATCCAACTTTTGTTGCCGGTACTGAGTTACCAAATGTATCTTATGATAAGTTTGAGTTTTCCAAACTATTACAAGATGCTTCATTAAATTCTAGTAATATAATTACTGGAAAAGATAGGATCGATGTTCAATCTGAAAGTTGTCTAAGATTATTTTCTAACAAACACATTATAATGTCGGCTTCTGGAAAATATCAAAAAGTTGAAAGTGTTATGATTCCTTATGGCGTCATCATTTTCGCTTGCTTTCAAATTTTACCTTCTGCTTCTTCTACCCTTTCTTTTTGTACTTCTCCAACTTTTAAACATCAAAAATCACTGTCTGCTCCTTGCTCTCCCATCACTGCAAATGGTTTAACTAAAAGGCCAAGATCCCCTGGTTATTCTCCTGGTTCTTTATCTCCAACTTCTTATTCAGATTCGGGTAGTAACAGTATTGCTTATCATTACCGTCCAGATACCTCGGAACGTTCTATAAAACGAATCCGTCTAAATAATAATGATTTGGATCTTTCCGTTCGTACTGTACCTCATCTATTACCAAATCCTATTTCCCCTCATGATTCTCCTGGTTGTAAAGGCAATGTTCAATATCCATTCCCGTCGATATCTCAACCACAAAATGATCAAACATTACCACAGTCATTACCCACTATATCTCAACAAATTTATTTTAATCAATCTAGTCAACAACATTTTTCACAACATGCTCAGCAACATACTCAGCAACATGTTCAGCAACATGTTGTGACTCCGTATTCTTCTCCCACTTTCTTACCACATGATAATAATAATGCTATGTGTCAACGTCCCAATCCTCCTCCTTTTTCACAACCTCAACCTGTTCCAAATCAACAACCTCCAACTTTCCCACCATTTTCCCCATCGCAACGTAGAAATAACGCGGCTGTTAATGGTACAAAAAAGTGTGAGAGCTGTCATACAAGTTCTAGTCCTGAATGGAGGCGTGGTCCAACAGGTCATAAAACGTATGTATATACAGTATATTTTTTTTTATTTTTCACATATTTCTTATTTTACATAAATATTGATGTCGTGATTATTTTTTTTTTTAGTCTTTGTAACGCATGTGGATTGAGATATTCCCGTACAATAGCTCGTGAAATTCGTAAACGTGAGCAAGCTCAACGTGAACAGGAGCAAAGATTTCGAGAACAACGTGAAGGTGAAGAACGTGCACGTGAAAGAGCTGCTGCAATCATGATGCAATATGTTATTAGGGTTCCAAACCGGTTGGAAAATCTCTACCCGTGACCCCGTCGGGTCAACCGTCTTTACCAACCGGATACTCGAAAACTAAAACAGGTCACCTGAATATAATCCGGGTACCCGAATTCGGATGACCCATATAAATAACTAATTACTTGAGGATATAGGACGTTCTCAAGCGCCTTAATCAATGTATCAAAAAGCGTCGGGAAATAAATTTTACTTAGCGGAAAATCTTTTCAGTGGGTCAATAAATAGTGTAGTTTATTAAAGTTTATTACGTAATTGAAATATTTGTATTAGTAAAAAATATTAAGATAATCATTTTAATTTGCCAACTTTTTACAAAAAAGCATCTTTTTTTTTTATACCTGACTTTGAAATTTTTACCATCAATTGAGTATTCATAGAGATCGCTCAAGTAACTTTGCCATGGATCTTTGTTCTTGGCATAACGAATTGTTATTTTATTATCTTTATTAAAAGATTCAATGAAAAATAAAAAATATCGGTAAATTCAAAAAATAACTGCAGATACCATCTCAGCTTTTAATCATGTTACAAATTCAACTATTCCGTCAATAATACTTCATTAGATTCAAAAGCCAAGGATCTAAACCCGGGTTATAGTTTGGATCCCTACGTGTTATTGAACAATATAGGCCAAACCCAAATATGACAAGCGCCGTACCATCATATCAATCTCAGCATCATCATTATCATCATCAATCATCGTCAACTTATCACCAAACTTTACCACCACACATTTGAAAATCTTCGATAAAATTACTCTGAATATATTAAGAGTATTTGACGCATTCAACTTGGTGTGTCAAATTAATTTGACTGTAGATAACGTAACTATATTTGCATTTCGTTTCTTTTTTTTTTTTTTTTTTCTATTTCACTAATAAATCGCTTTTATAATTAAAAGTCATGACAAAATAGATTTAAAGTGATATTTCTTAACTTGGCTTTTAATTTCTTTAAACATATTTTCATTAATTTTGTATATGGCACATAATTAGATTTTAATTGTGAAATAGAATTATAATAGTGTAATATATATATATATATATATAAGATATAAAAAAAAAAAAAAACAATTTTTTATTTTTATTTTTATTTTTTTTAAGGATTTAAAATTGAAATTTTAGATGAAGGGGAATAATCTTTTTTAGTTTTAGTTTTTTTTTATGATTAGAATTTACTATTAGCTTTTAGGGTTAGAGTTGTTATTAATAAAAGAAGTTATGAAGTTATGATATCTGATATACAAAACAAATAAAGATAACCCAAATCTCTTAAAAAAAAAAAAAATTATTTTTACATCAGTCATTATACAGTGAATAAAGTATACCCTTTACTTGTCTATCTATTTTCAATGTTTTTTTTTTTTTTTTTTGTCGCATAAAATTACGCGACTTCTCTACCCAACTCTTATCTTGAATCATTCATTTCCTAACCATTATTCGTTTTTCCAACACGCGACTATACAATGATATGAAGTTAGAAATATTATTTTTGGATTTATTTTGTATATTCACTTAACATATTTATATAAGAGGTACGCACTCTATGAAACGACTCATTTATTGATCATTTTCTTTTAAAAATTATAAAAGTACCTTAACTGTTAAGAGCGCATGCGCTTTTTTCAATCATTGGATTTTAAATTATTTCAATTCTTTTTAACAAGGTTCTCGAAATAATTTTTTTTTTTTTTACCTTTTCTCATAAAAATTAATATATATATATTAAAAATTTTTAAATTTTTTTATAATATCATAAATTCATTCCAAGAATTTGTTTTGAAAGAAAGTTATAGAGTCACGTGGTTTGCCAAAATAAAGTATAGTCATGAAATAACGATCGTAAAGTTTATTTCGAAATTTATCCTTTAAAAAATATCATATATATAATTTTGAATGAAATGAAATAATATATAATATAATTGGGTTCAAAAAAAAATTGTCCCTTTATTCTAAAATAACGAATATGGATATCTCGAAAATAACGCGCGTAAGGGTGTGTATGTTATTTCACGAATACTACTGAATAAGTCAATTAATTCGAAAGTAATCATTCGATAAGAACCATAGTTATAAAATGCATTAAATTATTTCATTATATATCAAGTAAGTTAAACTTTTCATTAACTTTAAATTTCCTCAATAATTGTACAGAGGTGAGTAATTAGAAACGCACCAAATCTTTTTTTTTTAGTGAAACATTTTCAAACTTTAAACAAATTTATTTTGAAAAAAAATTTGAATCACCTCCAATATAGGTACAGTAGTAGGGATGTTATGTGGTCTAATCTTAGACTAATGGACCACAATTAGTCTTAAGACTAGTCTGAAACTGAAAAAAATTTGATCTTAAGACCAGATCAGTCTGGTTCGGTCTGGAATAATAAAGTTTTACGGTAAAACTTAAGATCAGACCAAAATAGACCAGATTGAACTGTTAACAGAAACTCTTTTTGGTTTAGAAGATTTATTTAATAATACTGAAAGCTAATTTCGTGGAATGTTTGGCAAAGGCATGTAAGGTGTAGCCTACCTTACCAAACTTTTAATAGCTTGCCAACATAGTAGGCGAGCAATGGTGAAGTGGTAAGAAATTTAATAAAAAAATTTTTTTTTTATATTTTAGTTTTAAAAAATAATAATAAAATTAGAGAATTGATATTTGACTCTCTAAATTTGATATTTATACTCCCCCTATAAATTAAATTTTGAGCAAAGATATCTCATATCTACTTAACAAACAAACAAACAAAAAAATTTTCATCGAATTTGAGAGATTTGTAGAATTCAAACAAAAAAAAAAAATAATAATAATTCATTAAATTTGGTTCATTAAAGATTAAATATATTTTAAAGGTATGAATATCAATGAATATCGATATATAGTCTTGCCATCTTGCCAAATAAACTTTTGTAGCCCGCTATGTCTTGCCACCCTTGCCTTGCCAGATTGGCAAGACCCTAGGATGTTCAAATACAACGAGATGGTTTGTTTAATACGAAAAATGACATTTATATGATCATGTAAAGTATTTTAATGTCATTTTATCGTTATTAATTATTAATTAAATATATTAAAATTACAAATGTCCAATCACATTTCTCGCTAAAGAAATTTAAACGATCGTTCAGTAATTAACGAGTATGAGGGATTTAGGAATTCAAATATTTTCCTGGTTGATGATGCGGGAGAGGAAATAAAGGTAATTAAAAGAGTGCTTTCTGGAATACTAGTAAGGATATTGATCAATATAAAAAATAATTATTAAAAGACTTCTATGTAAGTTATTAATTTAAAATGCCGGTTGTTCACGTGGATATATCAGCTTTAACAGATAGATATCAAATAAATCGATTTATAAATATATCAACTAAATTAAAAAGAATGAAAAAATTTCTAACATTGTAAATGAATATTCTTATACTAATTACTAAAAACGAACGAATAAAAGAAAAAAGAGGTTTATAGAATCCATTATTAAAAAGATCATTAATAATCTTCTCATATTTAAAAAGTTAGCTTTATCAAAGTTAACTTCCCTAAATAAGATCTTTTGATAGTAAATTCTATAATTAAATACGTATAAAACTTTTTAACTTTTTTGAAAAGTAATTAACGAGATAAGTTATTCAAATAAAGAGTTCATCAATAATTTCTTGCATCATCAAGTTGATCAGATTAAACAAATTAAGACTAGATTGTTTGGTAAATGGCTAATAATTGTCGGCAATGTCAACAATACGCAAACAAACATATATTATTTCTCGAAAGCTCTTTCATCAGAAAAAAAAAAAGACAATGCTAATGTCGAATTCTTACTCTTTGAGAAAAGGTGCAGCAAAGAATAAACAAAATGTATACAAGTTTTTATTATTGGTTATTTTAACTAATACAATAATCTCGTATGATTTTTTTGAAAATTGTGCAATTTTTAGAATGTGATGTGTCTTCGTAACTATCACAAAAATCATCTGAAATAAAAGAAATAACAAACCATTATTTATTTTATTTTATTTTTTTTTATCGTATTAATATGTAAAAAAAGTCAATAACATTATTGTAGATCTACGACCACCCTTTTTTAAATAATTGCCTTATATGGTTACTTTTCTTCTATTATAAGTTTCTAAAATTGTAAAATATATTCTTGTGAAATGAATCTCCGCATATCTAAGGAGTTTTGTTTGCTTGTTGTATACGTAGAAACACTCTAACATTTCTCCGTTATCTGGTTGAAAAAAAAAAAACAAAATATAATTTGAAGGTATCAATCAATTCAATGGTTTTTGTCGATTATAAATATCTACAACGATAAATTAGTTAAAACATGATCACAAGATGAAACTTTTTTTTATATTTTCACCAATTATACAAGAAAAACTTGTTTATATTATGTGAGTTACATACTTTTTAAGATTATTCCGTTTTATTAAAAAATTATATTACCTTTGGGTAACCTTAATTTGGAATCACATTTGAAATTACATGTCAGATCCGGTACTGTATACTGGTCATAATAATCTTACAGATTTGTAACTCGTGATACATTCTCTAAATTTATATACTTTTGACCCTATGATGACCGAATTTTTGAGAGGTTTATCGGTTTTAAAAAAGAATTTATATATTAAAATCAAATCAATTTTGACAGGTTAATTAGTTTGACAGACAGGATTAATTTTGAGAGGTTTAACAGTATGTAGAACTAAAATACTATATGGGTGAGTACACAGCAAAACCATGCTTAGAGTATATAAAATATATATACTCTAAGCATGGTTTTGCTGTGTACTCACCCATATACTATAGCCAATAATTCGAGTATCGGTATGTTTTAAATTTTATTAGTATCATAAGTTATATATAGCAGTACAAAAAATATATCATGACATAATAAGATCCACAGTTCTGTGATTTTCGAGCAATTCAATTAATTTAAATTTGTTCGGAAATCACGAGACCGAGAATCAATTAACAACATTCTATTCAGTGTTAGCTAATGATCTTAAATAACTTCTATGACTTGTCATAGATTATTTAGTTATAATAATAATGAATATTAATGATTTATATAGGGTCTTTGCCTTGAAAATCAAATTTGAATTATATATTTTGTAAGGTTATTTATAAGGCAAAGACTCTATATATAGTATTACAGGTAGTGTAATTTAAGCTTTCTTGTATACTAACTACTAGTCAAAATGATGCTATTTGGTATAATGATTAATAGCTGATTTATTGCTAAATAATTATTGATTATTAATCATAATAAATATTGTTAAATGATTACTGTTTGGTAGAATTATTACTACTTGGCTATGCTATTTAATAAAAATTTGGTATTGCCAATTAGCAATAAATCAGCAATAAATTAGAAATTTTTAAGTACTAATTTATTGCTGATTTATTGTTAATTAGCAATGCTGAATTTTGATCAAATAGTATAGCTAAGTGTAGTGATCCTACGAATCAGATCAGACCAAACTTTAGAGTAAGTTTGAGTTCGGTTCAGAAACTGAACCGAACCTGAACCTGAACCTTTTTTAAAACTATGTTCAGTCTAGGTTCGATTCCAAACTTTTTAGGCAGGTTCAGTTCGGTCTGAAGTTTGGTTCGAAAGTTCACGAACATGTTTGGGTTTGATTATCTATTATATAAAATTTACTTAGGCACCCAAAAAATTAATAACATAATTTGTATTGACTAATGAAATTGGCCTATACTCTTCGCGCAATAAAGTGTTCACTCAGAATTCTCTCTCTAATCCAGCTCAAAATTATTAATGTTAACCAACTAATTAACTTTAAAAACTTAATTAAAATCTTTGGACTAAACTTTGAACTGGATGTTGATTTGTCATAATAGATTTTTTATTCTAGTTCATTTTATTTGTTTATTTCAATTTCTCTCTCCCCCCTCCCTGAAGTCCTAAAAAGGATATTAACTAAAGATTTTACTGCAAACGGTCTTAAAGATATATTATATGAGATTTTTACTAACTAAATAACCCTTCAGGACTAGTCTCGAAGGGTTATTTAGTTAGCAAAAATCTCATATAAGTGCTACAAAATTTTTTATTTTTTTTTTTTCAGCAGTCATGCTACAACTTTTTAATTTATTAAGAAGGTTAAAGTATAAATACATATATTCTTTACTATTCTCTAAGCTATATAATGCTAATTAATCTTAA